CCCTGTGTACAATAGCAAAGACCTGCAACCAACCAAAATGCTCATCAGTGATAGACTTGACAAAGAAAATGTGGTATATATACACCATGGAATACTATGCAGCCATAAAAAACAATGAGTTCATGTCCTTTGTAGGGACTTGGATGAATCTCGAAACTATCATTCTCAGCAAACTGACACAAGAACAGAAAGCCAAACACCGCGTGTTCTCACTCATAAGTAGGTGTTGAACAATGAGAACATGTGGACTCAGAGAGAGGAGCATCACACACTGGGGGCAGTTGGTGGGGGATAGGGGAGAGACAGCAGGGCATGGGGAGGGAAGGGAGGGTGGGGAGGCATAACATGGGGAGAAATGCCAGATATAGTATGCACCTAAAGTTAAAGAAATAAATTAAAAATAAAAAAAGAAAAATAAACATGATTTTAAAATACAAATAATCATGCTTAATAAAATAAATAATAGATATACCATAAAAATCTGCTCATCTGTTTTCTTTCTCTCCTATCTGATCATCCTGTTTACTAGAAAATATTAATTAAAAATCAAGAAAAAAGTGGAATTGATTGATTCAGTGGAGTGCAGCCAAGCTTTTCAGCTGTGGAGTTTAGTGCCCGAAGTTCTTTGTGCTGGCACCAGAACCAGATCTCCAGATGGGCGAGTTTGTCTTGATGACTCTTCACAAATCTGAACTTCTTCCCAAGGTGGTTAATGACTTTATCGTTTTGCCAGTTATCCAGGTTTAGGTTTTCTCTTCAGGGTTCTTTTCCCCCTTCCTTCCTACTCCCTTTGTTGCTGCTACAGTTTGAAACCACATAATCTCTTTCCTAACTGTTCTACCCCCTTGAATTCATCTGGTACATTACTGCCTGATGAATCACCTTAATATAAGTCATTAAACACATTATTACATGCTTACAGATTGACACTACAGGCTCTCTGTAATGTGATGTCAAACAACATTTCCCCCAACTCTTCTACTATTCCACCCACGCATCTGACGTCCTGGCCAAACTGAAGTAGGAACTATTCCCCAGCTGTGTTGTAGAGATTCCTCTTCCTCCTCACAAGAAAATCTATGCCACTTCATTTACTATCCTAATTAAAATTCTACCTATGATTCAAGATTTAACGAACTATGAACTTCCAAAGAGGAGAGAAAATGTATTCAGCTTTGTATCTCAGTGTTGATTACAGAACTTTGCAAGTAAGAAGTACTCATTGCCCATTTGCCACATAAATGCACACATTTCAAACAATGTGTTTACCACAGTCTCTTTCTATCACCCAGAAGTGCTCTTCTCTTCCACCCTCTGACTACACTGAGATCTCTGCATCTCTATCTCAACACGTATCATACTTGAGCTTATAGTGTTTTAATGGTAGACAGGGACAATCCCAGCTTAAGGCCCTATAATATATTCAGCCTAGTACCCAGCTACATCAGGACATGTCCGGAAGATAAGCATAAGGGCCTGCCCATATGATGGAGTCCTAACCCATATGAAAGAGGGCTTAATAGTCTTCTTATGGAAAACAATACTAATACTCAGGAAAGAAAGATTCAAGGAGTATGACTCAAAAAAAATGGAAGTTTCATATTTGCCAGTATGTGGTGCTAGGTACTCTGAAACACATGTCTGCTGAAAACAAATAATGATGCTTATAGACTTATTTTTGTTAAACACACTAACAAGAGGACAAAATAACAGTAAATATTAAGAGGACAAAACAAATGAAGGCAAGAATTAGAAGAAGAAAAATCAAGAAGGATGGTGGTTTTTTTGTTTGTTTTTTTTTTTACGTTTTAATAGATGTTATTTTGGGGAGGCAGATTTAAGTTCACAGAAAAATTTAGCAGAAAGTACAGGGAATTTCCATCCTTCCTTCACACATGCATAGCCTCTTCTATTATCAACATCCCCCACCAGAGAGGTGTATTTGTTACAGTTGGTGAAACTGTATTAACACATCATTTCTCTCAAAGTCCATAGTTGACACCAGGGTTCACTCTTGGTGTACATTCTGCGTTTTTTTTTTTTACAAATATATAATGGCATCTACCATTATAGTATCACACAGAGTAGTTTTACTACCCCAAAAATCCTCTGTTCCCTAGTTTTTCATCCGTTCTGCCACAATAACCTCTGAGACCCAGTGATCTTTTTATTTTCTTCATAATTTTGTATTTTCATATAGTTGGAATCGTACAGGATATAGTCTTTTTAGACTGGCTTCTTTCCATTAGTAATGTTATTTATGCTTGTTCCATGATTTTTCATGGCTTGACAGCTTATTTCTTTCAGCACTAAATGGTATTCCATTGTCTAGAGGCACCCTAGTGCATTTATCTATTCACCTACTGACGGACTTCTTGGTTGCTTTCTTGTTTTGGCAATTAAGGGAGTAGATTTTAACCTCGAATGTATTTACTGATTTAAGTGAACCTAAGCCTCAATGTTGACAGTTTCATAATGCTTGAAGAACAGAAGACAAAGCCCAAGGTGTAGAGTCTAATAGGAGACCACAAGAATGAAGCTGGGAACCCGACGACTATACTCTTGATGAACAAGAACTGCACCATGCCCCTCCCAAGGGATTGTAAACAAAATTGCTGTCTTAGTCCATTTACACAGCTAGGACAGAATACCAAGCCTGGGTAATTTATAATACAGTTTAAAAGAAATTTATTTGCCTTATGGTTCTGAAAGCTGACAAGTCTAAGATGGAGGGGCTGGCATCTGGTGAAGAACCTTTTTGCTACAGCATCCCATGGTAGAAGGGCAAAGAGAGGGCAAAAGAGAGACAGAGAAAAAGGGATCAAGCTCACCATCTTATAATGAACGCACTGCTGCAATAGCAAACCCACTCCCAGGGCAACAGTATTAATGGATTTGTGAGAACACAGCCCTCATGGCCCAATAGTCTCTCATTAGGTCCACCTCCTAACACTGCTCTATTGGAGGGATTAAGTTTCCAACACATGCTTTTTGGGGGACACGTTCAAACAGAAACAATTGCCTATTAAACATTTTGGCCTGAGTGAAAAGAAAAAAAGTCTCACTTGAGAATGTACCAGTAACAAATTGGCTCTCATGCAAACCTCACAGATGTTTGCAGTTCAAATTTACCCTGACTGTGAACTGTATCTAAAATAGTTCAAGCTGATAATAAACCTTAAAGGACTTCTAGGGGGGTGATATCCTCCGAAGTTTGCCAGAAACAAATACACTTTCTATCTGCAGAAACCCAGGTCTCAAAGGGTAACAGAGATTAAGTTAGAATGAGCTTAGAGTCAAATTTTACAAAACACACAAAGAAACAATGCATCATGAGTGAGATCCAGCAATAGAAAAAGAAAAATAGCATAATTGCAAAGCCATTAGAAACATATAGAGATTAAATGTAACAGAAGAAATATGAGAAGGAATTGCAAATATAAGTAAAGAGTTAGTATAAAAATAACTAACATATAGAAGAACTTATAAACATAAAAGCTATAATAATTGAAATTAAAATTCAATGGCTGCATTTAACCACAGATTGGACATAACTGAGTAGGGAAATTACTCAACTGGAAATTAGTGAACTAGAAGATAGATTAGACAGAATTATCTAGAATGCACACAGAGAGACAGAGAAATAAAAACTAGGAGATAAGAGTTATGAAATACAAAGATAAAGACAGAATATTATGGAACTGATGAAAGTACTGATACGCAGACGCAGGAATAACCCTCTTTCTTATGTATTGTATATATATTATGGATCAGTAAATACATAGTGGAAAGATATCTTTATTGTGCTGAGACAAAACATCTGCAAACCTAGAGTTCTATATGCAGGGAAAATATCTTCTCAGAACAAGGATAAAATTAAGATATTTTCAGACAAACAAAAAAACCTAAGTATTTCACCAATAGCAGACTGTTACTAAAGGAAACTTTAAAAGATGCACATGGAAGGAGCTGGAAGCCATTAGCCTTAGCAAACTAAGGCAGGAACATAAAACCAAACCCCACATGTTCTCACTTATAAGTGGGAAAAAGGAGAGCATCGGGAAAAAATAGCTAATGCATGCTGAGCTTAATAGCTAGGTAATGGGTTGAAGGGTACAGCAAGCCACCATGACGTACGTTTACCTATGTAACAAACCTGCACAACCTGCATATGTCTCCCCGAACTTATAATAATAAAAAAATGTTTAAAAGGATGTGCAAATTCAGAAGAAACTCAGATGGAAGGTCTGTGATTTAAAAAGGAATTAAAAGCAAAGAAAATCTAAACAAATCTGGAATGTACATAGCAACTTATAATAATGGCTTAAAAAGTTAAAATAAAGCCAGAAGAAATTTAAATGTTTATAAAGGAAACACCTGAATCAGTCGGAGAGTGGATACAGTTTAAGTGTTCTTGAGTCCTTTTATTGTTTAAGGAAAGTAAAAGAATTAATTATGAAATGGTTAAACTAGAATTTCTAAGATAAGCACTAAAAGAATAGAAATATAGAAATAGTATATATTACTTCTAATTCAGCATAGAGAAAAAGATGGAATGAGAAAAATAGTCAATTCACTTAAAAGGTTTTTAAAAAGGGAAGAAGAAACAGAAAAGGCAAAAAAAAAGAGGCATAGTATGATGAATGTAATTAAATACAAATATATAAATAATTGTAAGTAAATAATTTATAAGTGTAAATTAAACAAAAGATAGAAAGTGACAAAAATGAAAATGTGAAGGAGAACCACCACAACTTGTAAAGCAATAATAATCCAGCTATACCAAAAATGTACAGGAAACATTTGCAATTAGAAGCTTTAAGAAGTTATAAGAAAAACATCTAAAACATAACAGTTCAGAAAAGTTGAAAGTAAAAGATTGGCAAAAGATATGCCACAAAATACTTAGAGAAAGCTGGTATAGCTATATTTTCAAATAAAAAATATATTTGGACAAACAATATCACAGTAAATAATGACGGTTACTAAAGTTTTTTAATGATAAAGAAGAGAAAAAGCTGCAATTATTTTTAATGTTTAGCTTTTCTTTGTAAAAAGCTTATATAAAAAAACTTAAATGGTCTTTTGATTAAAGTTAAAAATCTATTGCTGCACAATTTAACTGATTAAAAGATTTCCAGATGTCTTAACTCCAAGAGATTTCTTTCCAACCTGACCTTTCTTTTCTTACAGATCTCACACCTCCAGATTTCTCTTTAGCAAACATGATCTGAAATCATTTGTAGGTAATCAGCACTTCAAGTATATGGAAGCTCTGGCTGAGGCAGTAGAGTCCTGGGAGGCTGAACCCTGGGAGGCTCAGTGTCCCCCCCAGAGACCCAGACGTGGGCTAAGCCCACCACTGCCAGGGCTCCTGCACGGGACCTATGTGGCCAACCTGGGCTCGTTCTTCCCCGTGAGGCCTCCTGGTCTCTCTGAGGGCTGCCGATCCACCAGAGTGTGGCTCTCCTTCCAAAAGCTCGAGCTTCATTCCTCTTTGATTCTCATCAGTTCCCATCTTCCTCCTCCACAGAGTTTCAGAACCAAGGAATGAAACTTCTCAAGGCTCTGTCGATGTCCCACATTGATGAACGTCATCCCCAGCTGCTGGCCGATGCGATAGAGCTCGCTCTCCACCTCCTCTGTCAGAGTACTGGTGGCTTCATCAAGCACTGCGTACTTCGGCGGCAAGTAAAAGAGTCGGGCAAAGGACAGCCATTGCATCTTCCCCGGGGACAGAACATCATACCAGTTCTAATCCACCTGCTGGTCCAGACCCTCTGTCCTTGCCACCAAGCTGGACAGGCCTGTCAATTCCAAGAATCTCAAGATCCTCTCATATCAGTGGAACCTGAGTCAGGGTAAATCTCCTTCAGGGGATATATCACCTGCTCCCAAAGGGTCCCATCAGTAAAGAATGGCTTTTGTGGCAGGAATAGCACCCCATGGGGCCCAAAGTCCGTCAGCATCTGCACTGAGCCCCGTGTGCTCGTCCAGAGGCCGCCCAGAACCCGGAGCAAGGAGGTCTTGCCAGTGCCCGTGTTGCCTGTGATGAGCAGGCTCTGTCCCTCGGAGATCTGTAGGCTCAGATCCTTGCTTAGGGGTTTCTCAGATGAGGGAGCAAAGATGGAGATCCGCTCAAGGAGAAATGCCATGACTGCTGGCTCTGCTGCTGGCCATCCCCGGGCCTTTGTCCAAGCCCCACTCTCTCTCGCCCAGGATCTCGCAGTCCTGTGACTTCAGGGACATGTCCAGCAGCGTCTCCCGAAGCTGCCCAATCCCGTGCATGTAGCCAGCCACATCGGAGAGCGTTGTGGACAGGTCGATGAGCTGAGTGAAGCAGCTGATGAGGTAGATGCACACAAAGGCATTCTTGCTGACCAGGATACTAAGCTCTGCGGGACTCAGGGCTCCATAGACCCCACTGAAAATGGGGATTGCGATGACAACGTAACTCACGATGCTGCCCAGATAGTCAAAGGTGTTGGTGCCGTTGTACAGCCAGAGCTCCTTGGACATCAGCTCCTTCTGGGTCTGAAGGAGTCTCTGCAGCCTGTCCTCATGTGCTCTACATGCCCAGCTCTGTGGAAAGCAGCAGGCTCAGCATTCACACGAATCTACATGTGCTTGAACCTAAAATCTCCCTCCAGCTTCTCCTAATGCACCAGCTTCGTCACAATGGGCCCCATCAAAGTTTTGTTCACCAGAGTCCCCAGGATGAAATATCCGAAGATGCTCATAGGCCCAAGCCAGCCTGTGTTTTGGAAGCACTGGTAAGTGTAGTAGACGAGGGTGAAGGGGGAGACGATCAGCTTGCTGGCCATGCTGCTGAGCTGCCGGCAGAATCGCTCCACAGCCTGGCTGATGCGCTGGTCCGGGTTATCGATGTCATCCCGCAGCACGTTGAGAGTGTAGTACACACGGCCCGTGGAGTTCAGAACAATGAGCATGACAGCCAGGAATGTCAGAGTCTTAAATGCTTCCAAGTCTTTTTTTCCCAGCACCCCATAGTACTGACTGGGGATCAAGCCAACCTGGTAGATCACCAATTGCTCTGGCACCAGCTCTGGGCTCGGGCCCTGGGACTGGGCCCCGGGACCGCCATGACCTGAGACCCTATGGACTCTCTAAAATTTTTTTAAAAGCTAAACTGACCAGGAAGAAAGAAACATTTCTGAACTTGGATGCATCTCAACTCATCATCTCAAATTGCAGAAAACAAAAATGACAGAATTAGAGGTAGTGTTTGACAAATCTATTAACATAATGGTAATTGATAGATCAATTAGGTAATACATTTTTTAAGCATGTAGATGATTTGAACAATATGGTTAAAAAGCTGATAGAGTGTACAGCTATGGACTATTCTTCCCAATAAATGCAAAAAATGTACATATTTTTCAGGCATGAATTAATCTTTTCTGAAAAATGTTCTCCTCAACATAATAATAGCAAACACGTTACATTTATTTGTGCCAGGCAGTGTTGTGAACAATTTAGAATACATTTAGTCCTCACAACAATTCCAAGCGTTTGGCATATAAATATTTCCTTTTTATAGATGATAAAGCCAAGGCACAATGAGGCTAAGTGATTTTTCCAAGGTCATACAATCAGAAAATGGAAGAGCTGGGATTTCCAAAGTCTGTTCTCTTACCTACTACATAATATTGCAGAAAAATGTGCACTACTTGGGAATTAAGCTAATAAAAATATGTGCAATCTTATGGAGAACATTATAAAATCTCTTGACAAATGTTAAAGAGGACCTAGAGAAAAGAAGAGCTCATGTTCATCATATGAAAGAATCAATGGCAAAAGAGCCAGTTTTTCCTAAACGAATGTATAGATTCAAATCTATAACGTTGTAGACATGCAAAGTTAATTCAGAAATGTATATGAACTACGAAAGGACACAGAATAGTGAAGATATTTGTAAGAAGAATAAAGTACGAGGATTAGTCAGCCAGCTACCAAGACTTCTTGTAAAGATATAAAACAATTTAAGACGGTGTAGTATGACACAGAGTTCGACAAAATGACTAATGATACAGATTGGAGAGACCGGAAGCAGACTCACATATATACAGAAACTTGATTTATGATGGAGTTTTAATTACATGTCAGGTAAAAAATGGACTTTCAGTTAGAGAGAATATGTTTTACATAACGGAAAAATAAATTTGGGTACCAAACTCTAACCACGATGAAAAATAACCTGTGTGGGTTAAAAACTTAAGTCAAAGACAAAATTGTTTTTTAAAATTTAGAATACAAATAAAAACTACTTTTTCTTTGTGTAAGAAGGATTTTTTTTAGACTAGATAGAATCATGAACCATAAATATATATATGTTTTATGGCATTAAAATTAGGAACTTGTGTTTATCATAAATGCCATAAAAAAGCATAAAGTAAGTCACACACTAAGAAATAAGTGTTTGTATCTGCAGCACATGAAGGATTGATTTTAAAATATATAAAGAGCTAAAAAGTAAATAAAGACAATCCACATAGAAATGAGCATTATAAGAAAGCACCTCCACATAATCAGTATGAGTTAGAATTGGCTCAAGCACTAGCTTCTTAGTAAATGTATTATAACAATGTGCATATCCTATGCCCAGGAGTGCCTCCAGAGAACTCTTTTAATATGCACCAGTCTGAGTATAAAAGAATGTTTACAGCGCATCAGAGTTTTACAAAACTAAAACACCCAAATGCCCACCAAGTGAATACATAAACTGCACCATTTTAAAAAAATGTTAACCCTATATAGCAGTGAACATGACTGATTTACAGCTACACATTACAACTTGGATGAACTAGGAACTAGGTTCAGAATTTTCAGAAAAAAAATACAGGTTTCAGAAGAACCATGCTGTATTCAGTATGGTTGCACGTATATAAACATACAAAGTTAAATCACACATTGTTTAGAGCTACAAACTTACGTGGCATAATTATAAAGCAAGATAATAATAAACATAAAATTCAAAATAGTGGTTCAGGCATGCACAGAACTGCAATGTCAGAACCATGTTCTTTTTCTAAAAGTGGGTGTTGGGTAGACGTCATTCACTGAATCTTTGAAGGCAAGTTTATATTGTAGCATAGTATTCATCACTCAAGTATTGTAGATCTGCCATTGAAGTCTTATGCCATTGTTCTAAAAGTAAAATAGAGAAACAGTGAAAATGAAAGACCCATTTCAGCTCTTGATGACAACAAATGCATAAAGACAGGCACAGGTTGCTTCTTCTCCTTGAGGTAATTGTTGGAACCTGGCATGCCTTATGCCATGATCTGGGCAAGCTCTCTGAGCCAGTGAGAACTGGAGAGAGGGGAAGACAGTGGGCCTTAGAAAACTAGGTTCAGAAGAGGATATGATCAGCACAGTTGAAGCCAGGGAGAAGGGAGATGTCAGATTTCATGGAATAGCAACAAAAGAGTTTGAGATCACAGATGACACATACCCCAAGGACACTCAGTATATTCTGGAAGGATTTTGAGGAGGGACTTGAGGAACTCCCACAAAAACAAGGAGAAAAGAATAGAGTCAGGAAAATAGTTTTATAACTGCCTAAGGTTGGCATTTTATTTTTATTTTATTTTATTTTACTTTAAGTTCTGGGGTACACGTACAGAACATACAGGTTTGTTATATAGGTATACACGTGCCATGGTGGTTTGCTGCACCCATCAACCCGTTGTCTACATTAGATATTTCTCCTAAAGCTATCCCTCCCCTAGCTCCCCACCACCCAGCAGGCCCTGGTATGTGATGCTCCTCTCCCTGTGTTTATGTGCTTTCATTGATCAACTCCCACTTATGAATGAGAACATGTGGTGTTTGATTTTCTGTTCTTGTGTTAGTTTGCTGAGAATGATGGTTTCCAGCTTCAGCCATGTCCCTGAAAAGAACATAAACTCATCCTTTTTTATGGCTGCATAGTATCCCACAGTGTATGTGTGCCACATTTTCTAAGAAAAGTGGGCATCTGTTATTTGTTTACTTATAATGAATACTATTAAATTACTGTGGCCAGAGAGTGCATATGTGTTTCATCCTAGCAGTATGTTACCAAATGAAAAAGAATAAACACTTTTTGCATAAAGGCATAAATCCAACAGAACATCTATATAACAACTTTAAGTATGTCTGATGCTAGATACTAGGGATACCATTTTTTTTAAAAGGAAGGTTCACGTTATGGTAGCACTAAAGTCTTCTTGAATTAGTCTAATACTATTAGGTGTAACCAGATTTAACTCAATATCTAATCTAGGACAAGCATGGATGTGGAAAATGCCTGTGCAAACACGTTTCCTTCAACTTATAAAGGGAATGAGAAATGAGTGTAATAGAGAAAGACAGTAATTTAGGTACACTTGGAAATCAGAAATTCACACACACACACACACACACACACACACACACACATACACACACACAAGCATACACACAAGCAAATGCATGCACAATTCTCTTGAATATATAACAGCCCTAGAAAGCTCAGTCCTTTCCAGCTTGGCAATGCCATTGGTATCCAGCACCCCAAAAAGTCACTCTCCCTGAATGCTCCTGGCTAAAATGCAGAGGTTCTGCAAATTACTTCTGTAATGGGCAATGGAGAAGAAAAACTGGATGAAATTCAACATAGGAAAAGCCAATTTGAGTACTATACAATGTTTTCTAATGATGCAGTCTATTAGGTCTTGAAATAATCTCAGCAGGTGAATGTGAAGGCTGTATCAAAAAAAGGACTTAAAAAACAGCAATAAAATTTTTGATTTAAACTGTCAATAGGGTAAATGTCTGCAGCAGGCAAGACACAGGACCTTGAGAACATGACCAGGGTTATAACACTTTTTGAAAACTTATGTGTTAAAAAATAAACCTTACTATTCACTGCTGTGTGCTGGAAAGTAAAGGAAATTTCGGTTTCAAACAACTGTTATTTTCTTTCTATAAAAATCAGTTTAATTTTCAAAAATATGTTTTCCTAATGTAAACAATGCGAGGCAGGATGGTCTGGAACTAAAAAGCAGTGGCCGTGAGTCTGCCGGAATTAGAGTTTGTCTAACACCTCATGTTTAAGTTCAAGAATTTTTGAGTTTCCACCATGAATGGAAGTTTTGCTAATGACCACACTGTGGGTAAACCAAAGCCCTGCTGCTGCTCCATTAAGATTTTGGCCCTTTTCTTTCTAGGTCTTGCAAGCAATGTGTTCATGTACATAAATGACCACAATCCCATTTGTAAAGAGAAAAGAAAGAAGTTTATTGTATAGAGCACACCGTGGACTTCACCCCTGGGTGGTCCTCTGAGACTTGCATTCTTTCTTTCACAAAAGCAGAAGATGAAGTTTAAGTGCCTTCTTGTGTATTTAACTTAAACTAACCACTCTCTTGTTCAGAACTAAGTCCTTTTAAGAAAAAAAATGGCTCCTTATTCCTCAGACACCGTCCATGCATGAGGCAATGCACATTTTAAGAGGAAGGTGCTACCGCAATCCTGTGGGCTTTTCTACTTCACAGAATTTACTACCTTTTTGCTAAATGCCTACAGAGGATTGGTGAAGTTCATGCTTTCTCTTTTAAACCTACTGAAACTGTTCAGTTGTGAGAATAGCCTAATGAAAGTAGCCTCTTCATCCTCCTCCTGCACTTGCAGACTGGTCTGGAATGAGTATCTCACATAGGTAGGCATAGCCTCAATGTGTTTGGGGGCTATTTGGATGGAAACAGAAAAGTCTCAGAGTGAGACAGAACTAGTCTAGAGGTAAACAGGCTGCAAATGCTGGCAGCGGTGCCATTCCAAATAAGCCTGCATTCCCCCTTGACGTCTCACTAATCAATTTTGGCAGGTGACTGTCTTGACTCCTTGGAATATTTATCAAGAAGGACAAATTGTGCTGAATGTCAAGTTTGTCAGAATGACTTTGGTCAGTGGTTGGCTATATAGACAATTGGGCTCATAACCACTTGTCGTGCATGGGAAAGATAACAGTGGACCTAAATAATTTGTGCTTATTTTGAAAAGGCCCCTATTTACTTACTTGACTCTGTTCTATTCTCAACACCCTAGTTCTAGTTCTTTTCATATTCCTCCTGGACTATAAA